TTAAGGAAACACAGAAAGAAAACGGTTTGGGCTCTATGATATCATTAGTACTATTTATATTCTCTTAATTTCAGAGTTTTCAGGGATAAGAAAATATATGCAAAGATGGAGACATCTTAATTTTTATTGGTGTACTTTCAAAATGTTCTTATGGAATAAGCACACTTTCTTTTTTAAATTTTCTTTCCATTTGCTTTAAGATGTATATGTAGGTGGGAAGAATAAGGAAATCATATATTTTTAACAGTTCCATGATATTAGTACATGTTAAAATAAAGATATTAAACCAGTATTATGGTAATAAAACTCAAATATTCTATAGATGTAGAAATGCTGTTACTCTATTTAAAGTTAACTTATTATTTAAATTAATTCATATCTCTGACCTTTTTTAAACCATGCTGAAAAGTTATGTTAATTAAGTTTGATTAGATTGTTTTCTGTGAAAGTTCACTTTTTCTTTCCTTGCACTTTCACCAATTAAAAATAACTCACATCATTGAAAATAATTTCTGATTATAAATAATACTGTAGAAACTGGGGCCAATTATTTAAGAAAAAGCTAGAATTTCATCTTCTCTCCCAGTATAGGATCTTAATTATGAAAACCAATCACTTGTCATAAGGGAATGCCTTTTTTCTCTTTAGGAGGGTTTTTATTTTAATTTGGAGATATATTAGAAATGGAGAATAGCTCTTTAAACATGATAATATGCAGAGAGTGTAAGGGACAAAACTTAACTGAGCTAATCTTTTAAGAAATGCCAAGTTTTTTCCATTTTCTTTCTATCCCCGTAAAGATTGAAAAAAGGGAGAATATCTCAGGTCTGTAGTTGTGGTTGGCATTAATATCATTGAACTCTGTTATCTGTTACTGCTAGTTGTGTAGCAACAACTTATCCCTTCATTTACTTCATAAGTATAAGGGAGTCTTCAACTGCTAAGTTGGAAAAAAGGAGCCATATTTATTGTCTTTCTCATCATTGTTATTAGTAGATATTTCCTTATTTGAATGGGGCAAGTATTGTAGACATAGTGTGAATTAGCAAGATAGGCAAATGCTTTTGAATCATAACCATGAAGTAGTGTTTATTCATGTTGTTCACAGAATACTGATTCAGGATATGTTGATATGAGAGTAAGGAATTTTCTCTTTTGAATTTTTGTTTGTTTATTTTATTACCAATTGCTAGTTCCTTAGGAGTCTATCCTCTTGTGCCAGAGTCACATTCCTCATTTTCATTCCTGGGCCTAGGCAAAAGACTCAAGAGCTGAGTTTGGGTCAGGATCATCATCTACTTTCAGCTTGAAGCTGGGATTTTCAGAATTAACATCTATCCATTTCTTTAAAAATATGGTCAGTGAGATGCCTTCTTTTTAAAAAATATATGTTTTTATTGATTTCAGGGAGTAAGGGAGAGGGAGAGAGAGAGAGAGAAAAACATCAATGATGATAGCGAATCATTGATTGCCCACCTCACAGCTGCTGTTGGGATTGAGCCCGCAACCTGGGCATCGAAACATGACCTCCTGGTCCATAAGTTGATGCTCAATCATTGAGCCACAGCAGCTATACAGTGGGATGCCTTCTTCATGTTACTTCCTCTCTGAATACTTAAAGGAAACAAGGCCCACTCTATTTTTTTGCCTTCATTTTTTTCAATTTTTCACTTATGCCATTTCGTATATCCTCATGCAATCTTATAATTCCTATTAAAATTAAAAGGTATAAATACATAGGCTGAAACAAAGTTTGACACTAACTTAATGTCTCTTTTGTGTTTGCCACCTGTGAAGCATATTAGATATCACCTATGTAATGTTTAATCAAAAACATGTGGTAAGCCCTACTTTGGACCTATTAAATTCAAAATTTAGGGTAATGAGGCCTAAACTTATATTTTTCAAAACTTCCCCCAGCTCTTTCTGACATGTATCTTTGATTTAGAACCACTGTGCTAAAGCATGTTTTCTGTTTGTTTTATTTTTCTAGGACAGTATGTGATGTAACTCTTTGGTGAATATTTTTCTGAAATAAGTATTACCAGGAGTTGTTGTTTTTTTAATTTTTATTTTTTAAATATATTTTTATTGATTTCAGAGGGAAAGGGGAGGGAGAGAGAGATAGAAACTTCAATGATGAAAGAGAATCATTGATTGGCTGCCTCTTGCACACTCACACTAGGGATTGAGCCTGAAACTCGGGCATGCACCCTGACTGGAAATCGAACCTGTCACCTTCTGGTTCATAGGTCAATGCTCAACCACTGAGACACACTGGCTGGGCAGGTATTTTTTATTTTTTTGGTTTGTTTGTTTTTTAATTTACCTGCTTTTATATTAACTTTAAAAAGATTTTTATATATGTACTTGTGTATACTTATATATATATGTATATACTAGGGGCCCGGTGCACGAAATTCGTGCACTGGGGGCAGGGTGTCCCTCTGCCCAGCCTGCCCCCTCTCACATACTGGGAGCCCTCAGGCGTTGACCCCCATCACCCTCCAATTGCAGGGTCGGACCCCAGCCCAGGCCTGATGCCTCTGGCCCAGGCGTCAGGCCTGTGCAGGGGACCCCCAGACTCCTACAATTGCTGGCTCTGCCCCTGGCCCAGGCCTGATGCCTGTGGCCCAGGATTCAGGCCTGG